CTTTTCTAAACCATGTTACAAAGTGGAGCTCTGAATAGGGGGTTGGTAGAATTGGTTTTTGCTAAGAGTATGAAGTCAATGCAGTTACAGATTTGAATATTTTTGTGTATACATGTATATTATGTTATATAAATATAAATGCATTATATTATCACGTATTTGTACATAAACAAGCCATTTATATGCAAACATAAACATACTTAACAATTATTAGTGTGTACGTATACATATATATATAAAAATTTTTACCAATGGTCCTAAGGTCTGTAGCACTCATTTTAAACCTAATTATATGCTGCCTGGTGGTATATATTGCACTATTAATTTTCTTTGTGTTTGATCGCTTCAACTATATTGTAAGTCTCTTAATGGCCGGGACTGTGTATTAAGCTTCTTGGATTGACTGAGTCAACAGTGTCAGGTTTTTCTGATGCTAATGATAATAAATATTTGTTGTATTAACAAGCTAATGTCAGCCACAAAGAAGAAAACTTCCATCTGAATTAAGATTATACCTTTGATTTTGTCTGTAGCTTTATGAGCAGACCTGGTAAGTCATATTCACTGCTCTTATATTGTTGCTTATAGAATACAGAAATCATACAGTTATAGTTTTTTTGTTTTTTGTTTTCCCTAGAGACGGTTCTCTGCTCTGTTGCCCAGTCTGGAGTGCAGTGGGCTGATCATAGATCAGTGTAGCCTCAAATTCATGGGCTCAAGGGATCCTTCCACCTCAGCCTACCCAGTGGTAGCTGGGACTACCAGCTGGCACCACCGTGCCCACTAACTTTTTCTTTCTTTCATTTTTTTTTTTTTGGTAGAGATAGGGTCTCACTGTGTTGCCCAGGCTGATCTTGAACTCCTGGGCTGAAGTGATTCTCCTGCCTTGGCTCCAAAAGTGCTGGGATTACAGACATGAGCCACCACACTAAGCCCATAAATCATATTATCAATGCAAATGAGTATATATACTTATATACTTAGCCTTAATATTTTTCAAGGAACGTGGTGATGCAGTAGCATAACCACTATATTTTTTAGTTGAAATTTTTATTGAGATAACTGTTGAGTCACATGAAATTTTAAGAGATAATAGACCATTGTATTTTAACCCCTGAAATGAACAGATAGATGTATGTGTGTATGTATTTAGGTCCTCCAAAAGGTAACAAAACCTAGAAATTAAAGTTCTTGCTGCTTCTTTCACTTAATGTGTTTGGTCAGTAAAATGAGGGTTGGAAAGTAGTATTATACACATGTCTATGTATGTAATTGACATATATGTGTATATTCATGTGTGTAAGAGAGAATTTTGTTAGTTCTCCTATCCCCATGTTTTACTGACCAAAATATTAAGTTAAAGGAAGAAGCAAAAATTTTAGTTTCTAGGTTTTGTGACCTTTAGGAGAACCTAAATAACTACTTACTTTTTTGGGGGGGACATGGTAAATATAGATGTAGTCTTACTACTAAAAGTGTAGTTTGAGGACCAGCAGGATCATATTTGCAGAGTTGTGCAACCATCACCACAGTCATTACTAGAACATTTCTCATTGCCCTTTAGCTATCACCACTCAATCCCTTTAATACTTCCAGCCCTAGGTAACCACTGATCTATTTTCTGTCTCTGTAGATTTGTCTCTGCTGGACATTTTGTATAAAAGGAATTATGTAAATATGTGGTCTTGTGTGACTGGCTTTCTGCACTTATATTATGATATTTTTATGGTTCATTCATGCTGCAACATGTATTAGTACTTCATTTTCTTTT